GTTTTTTTAAATAAGGTACTGTTCATCACTAACTCACCAAAGATATGCATTACCCAAATGCAGCATTGCTGGGAAAGTCCTTAAAGATCACAATTTAGCAGGGATAATTTTCTAATATATCAATGTCTGGTGTTTACCATATTTACTCATCAATTGAAAATTACCTTTGTGATTATCAAGTAAACTTAAAAAAGTTAATCAGTTCTGTTTTAAGGAAAAGTCCTTGGTTGTTTTTCTTATACATTGCCTCAAGGACTACACCCCATATTTGCTTTCTAAACACCACTCTGAAGCTTAATAAACCTACTTGAAAAAGCTGGTGAGGAAGTCCTTGAGATAAACCAGATATGAACAAATAGCCAATACTGTTTACCGTTGCTGTTTAAGTATTGTCAGAGCTTTTTCCAATAGAAACTAATTAATTTTCAAATACTCTGAGATGTCCGAAAGCATTTCTTAATTGTTGAGTTTCACTTCTTTGCAAAGATTCTTGGAGAGCAACTGAAGTTAACAACATCACAAGTGACAGCTCAGAGACAGCTACTATTAGCAGGAGCAGTGATGATGCAATATCCCGTGATTTAGCTACACATTTCTTATAAAATACCCTGCCACTGAATGCGTTCACTAATCATGAGCATGATACCCAAGGGGCTTTGTTAGGTTTGAAATGTGTATATGAAGTCAGCAAGAAAATAATTAAAATTATTTAAGTTATTTTTCTTTAAGACAAGGCTCTAATGTTAAATAAAAGCAATGGTACATATAGTTATTGGTCCTTCCCTTAGTAAGTGTAACCAATAATAACATGGGTCACTGATAGTCTTTGCTACTCCTTCAGCATTTTCATTATTATTTTTCCTTAAAATGCGTGTTGTAGAGAAAGCCCAAGTTTTCACTATTATTGCCACAGATTTTAAGATGAATACCGCCCCGATTTTTAAGCCAAATGACGAGAAATAGCCATACATTTGGAGAGCAGTTTGAAGGAGGAGCTTCTATATGTGCCCCCTCTGTAAATCAGTTTTCTAACAAGCCAGTTTCAAGTTTTTTTCCATCATAACTCATGCTGTCAGTGGAAGGTGATACCACACCTCTGGTACCACTAAAGCTCTCAGAAGTTCCGTCCAGAGGAGAGAATCATGGTAGACAGGATAAAACAGGCAAGAAGACAAAACAGAAAAGTTCCTTATCACGGAAAGCTGAAAACCAAGGTGTAAGAGAAAGCAAATGAATCCTGATAAAACAGGAGAGGATAAAGGTGCAATTGCTTGTAAGTCAGTAAGCTTAGATCCCTGCATCACTAGTTTCATGTGTTTTGCCATTCACATACTTTATAGCTAACAGTCAAATCAAGGTGGTGGTGAATAAGCAATTTCTAATTCTTGAGCTTTTTGGACTCAATTTAGGTACTTCAGTTAAATATTTAAAGTTTGATAAAATGGGTCAGGGCCTTAGTTTCAATTAACCCTTCTTCCAGTTGTGTTTTGCATTGCTAAAAATCTTCCTCTAAAAATGAATTGAAGACATCCCCTCTGTTTTGCATATGCCAAAAATAAAACCTCTATTAATAAAGAATTTATAGTCTGCAAAAGTAAGGTCAAAGAAGCAAATCAAGAACCTGGATGTAACACATGATGAAGAAGTTTTACAAGGCACACAATAATTCAACTTGGTAACTCAAAAGCCGAATTTCACCAATGCGTAATGCTATAGTTGAAAAACAAATAGCAGGATTGACAAAATAGAGAGTAGTCAAATATCATTAACAAAATTAAACCTCCTACATAAATTCCAGCACAGCCTTTTAGTATTAAATTGTTTAAAAATTTTCCCCATAGCTTAAGTATTGAAAAGTTATCAAAACTGCTGTCTTGAATGAGTGAGGCATTTGCTAAGACTGTGAGACTGACAGCATGGATGCTATGATCCTCTTTGCATCCACAAAGCAGAACAGCATAAGCAATGTAGTACGGAATTTGACAGTACTATCTATTTTAAGTTTGACCATTAAGGACAGGATCAACTGCAATCACAGATGAGATTTGGAGGAAATGACACTTCTTTTTTCCTCTCCTTAGTTAACACCTGAGGCGTGGGGGGGTGAAAATCACTGAGAATTACCATGATAACTGGTTAAAAGAAAGTTTACAAAAATAACATTAAAAAACTTTTAGAAACCAAAACAGCCTGGACAAATTTTTACTCCTCTTATCACCTCAATTTTATACACACTACTGTTAATAAAATACAAATACTACCCAAAATTTAACCGCTACTTACTGTTTGTTCTTACTGCAATTATTTGCAGTTTCTCAGCTCATGCATTCACATGAAGTTTTCATGCAGTAAAAATAGTTATTTCAGTATTAAATTGATAGCTCCACCTAGTGTTGTTCATGGCCTATTCCAACAGGAACCGAAAAGCAGAAAGCTAGTCATAACGTGTAGCTGGACACTACTTCTGCTTGCTGCTTTGAGCAGTTCCTCATACACCTTGCACACAGAACTGACACCCACAGCCCTGAGCTTCATTTTCACCGGCACTGACTACGAATAGCTCTCATGGCCTTACACTTATAAAACATGCCAAAACCTTCTCTTTTTTTTGTTTCATTTTTGAAACAAAAAAACCTCTTAAAATCTCAGAGACACAAAAAAAGGTGCCAGAAATCTTCTGGCAACTTACTTAGGGACAGATTTTGATACCACTGATTGTATAGCATTGCTATTACTGTGACAGACCCTTTCAGGTCTAGAAGTTGTTTCTCAGAAAGACTGTTCCTCCAGTGTAGGCTGAGCCTAAGGAACAGCTCATCTGTTCCTGTTGTCTTCTCCTGGGGGAGACAGATATCTGTCTGGATAACACTCCTATTTGGTACCTGTAAAGCCTTTTGGAGAAAGGTATTACATTGACTTGGGACTCAGTGTCTTCAACCCAAGATGACTTTAGACTGCATTTTCTCTACCTGGATTGCAGCAACAGCTTAGCTTTAGTCAGGGTGGTGGCAGAATCGGAGCAGAGACAGGGCTGACTCACCCTATACAATATTGCACTTACGTTGAGGGACTGAAGAAATACAACACAGGAAATTGTGACATTTCAGAAGATCCTCTAACAGGGAAAGCTCACCTACACTGTTTCACTTGGATATATGCCTCCCTCCACCCCCCAAAAAAAAAAAAAACCAACAAGTGGGTTGTGTGCTTCTCAGATGACTGTGAACAAAAGACATTTTGTTGTTTTAAGTGATATTTCCTCCTCACTCACTTGGCCAAGAAGGGCACTGCCACAATGATCCACCTTTGTCACCTCAAGAACAACTTGCTGACGTTCTCTTTAAAGTGGAAGCTTCACTTAGTAGAAATTCATTGGCTTCTTTAGAAAGAGTGCATCCCAGTTCTTTACAGCATCCCAACTGGGATGCATTCTGTATTGCACACACTGTACATTCTTCCAATTTTACATCTGGTTGGAAATATAAAAGTTTTGGTTTTGAACCATGAATCTCAAAATAAAATGGTGTCCCAGAACCCTGGAGAACAC